GAAAAATCAACCAATCAAATGAATTTCTTATGATCTAATATATGACTCAATAGGGTTTGAATTTAGAGTTTTATTTAAATTTATTTAACTCCAATGCGCCCATATGTGTATGTTTGATATCTACAAGAATTGCCCAATCAGATTAGAGTCATGTGGACGTGGGACAGATTTTTTTTTCAAGAACATATAAGACGCGTCAAATATTAATTTTGCGCATAGTTATGTCCGAAAATCACAAATATTTTAAACGGCAACCTGAAGGTTAGAATATTATTGATAATTTAAACGAATGTGATTTAGAGCCATTTGATTTAAAGTTAGACAAATATATAAAAAGCCCTGAAGCCATTGCTAACAATCAGCAAGAAAAAAGAGAGTTGAGAAAGCATTACTTCTTTACAGATTTAAGATGGCAAGTAAAAGTTTCCTTAAATAGTGGCGTGGTCGGGGGCCTGCTAGGTCGCCGTTCATTCAAGGCTGTTAGCTGAGCCACATAGTCTGGTGCTGGAACATAGGTGATCTGCTAGGTTATCTGATGTCGAAGGCTGCTAGCTGATCCGGCACCGCCCCATTGGGGCACAGTTGGTCTGCTAGGCGGGCTGATGTTCTGGTGGGATAAAAATATTTGTCGAAAATTATTGCTAATTTTCAATTTTTCATAACTCCGAGTGTGACCGTACAAAAGCAAAAGAATGGGAAAAGAGGCGCACACGGCAGCAAGTTCACGTACATCAATCGGTTAATGGACCTGAATGAGACTATAATAACTGGAGGAACAGTTGGATGTATAAACAACGAAGCTATGCCAAGCAAAAGAATTCAGAATGAGGTAACGAATGCGCGTCTTTGTTATAAAGTTGCGAGAATCAACAGAACAAATCATGTATTTTAATATTTAGGATGTTCGTGAAGAAAAGTTAACTACATACAGTCTTTGTACTGTTTTGCTGGTTTACCTTCGCGTAACCAGCAACCCTCGGGAGACATGCTGTTTTTACAAACAAACGGCTGTCTTCTCGAGTTCTTTGAAGTTCGCTTGGCAGCGTTACCTCAAATAGCCCGTCTTTTCTCTCGTAGCTCTTTTGACGGACCAATAAGAAATATGTGGGAGGTGTATTTTGTCTAAAATTTCTTCTCTTTTTCACCTTCCAACTTGAGTCCTTTGTGGCTCTAATAAACAAAAGAAGATAATATAGAGAAGATAAAAAGAACCTCGCCTAAGCGGCCACGTCTAAGTCGCGATGATGAGCATATTATATCATGTCTATGATGAAATTTTAATAATTCCTTTGCATACATACAAATTCTGAGACATGGATCAAAACAAGAAAGAATCGTTTTATTTGCGCTAGAAAAAAAAAACTTGTTATGTTTATTTATTTATATATTATATTATATTATATTATTATTTGTATTTAATCTTTTTTTTCGTCTTTATTTATATAATTCGTTATTGTTGGTGTCTTCGTTTTCTATGACTTTGGAATCCTTGAGCAACGAGCTCGCTCTTTATCAAGTCACAAGCATTAATCGAAAATGAGAGTTTTTTATAATGATAAAAATTATTTCTTGTCTTTATATTTGAATAATGCGAATATAATTTATTAACTAACAGTCTTTAAATGTTAAGAAATTACGAACTTGTTAGAAATCCAAAAGCACAAAACTAAGCGAAACCGAACGTATATACTAAATAATTTAGATTCGTTTTCATGTTACACCTAAGACGATATGGATGTTTCAACATTTATTTTATGAAGCTGAATTTAATATTTATTTTACGAAGCGGTGTTTAACATTATGAAGCAAAATCTAGTTTTTCTAATAATAACGTATAACAATTGAATTTTTTTTAAGACACTTAGCATTTAACGGTTATTATTATTTATTAAATATGTAATAGAATTTCAATAAAGTGGAACACTTATTAATTTAAATCATAGCATTTTCAAATATATAACGAATTTTTTGTTGTTATTTTATTGTTATTACAGTATTACAGTCAATACTGTAAATTCCAGAAAAGTTATTTTGCAATTATCGTTAATAAATAGCATGTATAATATATCGATATCAATATGTTTCGGTTATTTAATAAATAATTAGAGTCAATATTTAACTAAATTTATTTATAGCTTTTGTAAAGTATACATGATAAAATTTTTTTAAATCAGTTGACTCGTCTACTTTCTAAAGTTTTAATATCGGCTCTGCTTATTTGCTTCGGTATTTAATAACCAACGATTTTGCTGCAATCAATGTTTCAAACCTTTTTCTAACTGTTGCATTAAGTTTACGAGATTCTGTCAGTTCTACAATTTTGAAAAACTAACACATAAGTTCATTAAAAATGTTCATATATTAGAATTCAAATCTTCAATCTTTGAAGTCAGTTGCTTTTGCAATATTCCATTCATTAGCCTTTTCGTTATAGTAATGTAAAAGTTCAAAAAGATGAACATAAGGCATTTGTTTATTATCAATATCTGCTGGTACAGGTAATTCTAGCAGTACACATCATGTATGTTATCAAAGTAAAATAGGAGTCGAAAAAGATGAACATAAAGCACTCATTTATTATCAAAAGTTATCAAAAATCTGCAGAGACGAAAAAACATTTTTAGATATATAATGCGAATAGTATAAGTAACCTGATCGGTCTGGCCGGTCTGGTATGGGGTATAAAATATCTATTTTAAAGGCCGTACCATACTAACTCGATATTCTATATTATTAGGGTTAGAAATTATAGCAAATTTGTATGATTTTTAAAATAAAGCACACTGTATAGTACATTGGTCAGGCCACTCAAACGTTATTCTGTAACTCTTAAGTTGGCACTCGCCTGAATTTGAACCTGAAGTGCATTAGCTAGTAATTTCATACAGGTACTTCAGGAACGACACTCACATTATCGAACATTTCTATAACTATATTCCCTGTTTTCACTTAGAAAAACACCGATCTTATTTGGACAGACTTATACAGATTTAATTAACATTTAAGATTCAAGAATCCCAGCGAAAGTTCGATCTCCTCTAAGCAAATAAATTTTCTAGTCACCGCATTATAGAGCAATGTTGAAGATTTTTTGAATTGCAGTTACTTGAAAATGAGCATTAAAAATTTAACTAGGAGCTACGATCTGATCTTTATTTATCATGAGATTTAACTAGAAAAAAATTTAATTTGCCAAAAATGCGACTAAACAATTTGACCAATTGAACGGATGCATTGGAATTGCATTAAATGTATATAGTAAGTAGCCTCAAAATTTTGTTTCGCAAAAAAAAATTACAGATTTTACTATTAAAGCCATTCTTTAGTAAAAAGTGATTTGTTTCATCAACTTTATGCTTTTGGAAATATTTTGCTTGTGCAAAGCTCTACATCATTGACCATAGTACAAAATTTGGATTCGATAATTTGAAACCATTTCTTTCGATATGAGAAGATTTAAACAAGATCGGTTTCTCATACCTAAATACAAGAACGATTAACTGCATAATATGATTAATAAATGGACGAATAAAATGGATAAGCCGCCGAAAATACAAATTTTGGGGGTGCATTTTTTGGCATTTTTTTAGGATTAGAAGTCAGTTTTAGAGATAATAAGCATGTATAAGTGGGTTTTAGGGGGTTAAATAAAAATTCGTTTCATTTTAATCCGCGACATTTATTAAAATACATAATACTGATGTTGGCCGATGACTAAGTCTTAGCATTTATGACCTTGATCATATAATCATTTGACTCTATGACAAGTCATAAAAGCATATAGATCATCGGCCAACACTGAAATTATAGCAGTATGGGTTCACGGCAATTACGGCAAAAAATGACATGTGCTGTAACTATATTAATTTGCAAAATCAATTCTACTACCAACTATACCGGTAATGTTATCTTTGCGCAATGCTGAGTGTGTCTTCGCACGAACGCTAAAGCAGCCCAGTAAAAAGTAACTTAGAGGGTCTAATTATTAAAAAAAAATATACCTACCTGGTTTCTTTCATACTCTGTTATCCGGGTTGATCTTCTGACTATACCGTTTCGTTTATGCTGTTCATGAATAATAGTGCCATGAAAAATCGGTAGTCACGTGAAGATCATAAAATTTTATTAGATAAAATTATTACCGCCAAAAAGTTTAAAGTTCATTTTGTTGATATTAGAGCTAGAGGTGGGGAAAATATATAGTAAAATTGCTCAAGAAAGATCTTTGTTAGAGCACGAAAGATGGTTTTTTATGTGGATTTATATATGGTTATATGGTTTATAATATTTTGGCCTATGGATATAAATTTGTTTCACATTAAAACTATTTAAAATTTTACAAGACCACAGTTTTTATACGGTTAACTACAATAAACTACAATAAACTTATAAGCATACTTTGTATGAATAAGTAGACAATCTTACTTGATCATACTTCTACGATAATGCGTATGTGCGTCATTAACGACCACTTTATGGATCTAAAAGTTTGTTCTAGTTAGAATACTGTATGTACCTCCAATCCGGACAAATAATTTTTGTTTAAAAAAAATTTTTTTTATTACTTAATTTCAAATAGAAAGTATGAACTTGTACCAAATTTCAGAAAATGATTTTGCGATGTGTGTTTTTTTTTTTTTTTACAATAACCCTTGTCTTTTCAAGTCGTCATAAGTCTTCTTATTGAAGACATTTCCATCCTGATCTTCAAATTCCTCCATCGTGTCCGGTTTGAATTCATCTGTTTTACCGGTACTTTTCAATTTTTCCCATACTAGAGCATCAATTAAAACATTGATTGATAAATCTTGGATCTTGGAAATACTCAATAACTAACAAATATTTTTAATACTTACGAGCATATGCGTCTTCTATCAATGTTATTTCATGGAAATGTCGCGTGTTTGGTATACCCAAACATCTCATACCATGCGCGTGTCTCCATTCCTGAAACAATTTAAAGTATTTCAAACATGGGATAATTAAATTTCAATGTAATTTTAAATTACCTGAAAATGCCTATCAAAAGCTTTTCTGCCCATATAAACATAATTGCCACATATTTCGCATGGATATTCGACCCCAAGTCCGTGTAGCTTATAGAGCCAGTATGGAATTGGTTTACCGTCCCATCCAAGAGGTAATTTCAGAGGATTATAAATTTTGTCTTCATCTTCCGACTCAGATTCTATATCATCTACCTCTTCCGCTTCTAACTCCATCTGAAAGTGATTATGGAAAATAGTAAAAAAAAAAAAAAAAAAAAAAAAAAAAATTAAAATGATAATAACTTACTCTACGCTCTCTGTCAGTTAAGGCCCGTTTCCTTTCTACATTTGCTTTAGTGTCTTCTCGCTGCATACTCAATATTTCCGCATATTTGCGTATCAACGCCTCTGTAAATGCGATATCAACTTCCCGTTTATCTCTTTCTTTTGCCGCTTCTTTAAGTAATTTCTCTTGTGTTTCTCGGTCTACAGAAGTGATTCCTTGTTCTATCATTGCACTAGCAGCTTTTATATGTTTTTTACTCTTTAAATGTGCATCGAATACGGTTTGTTTCGTATAGCCCTTACGACCTATATAATACAGTTAAAAACGGTTTAATAAATTTGATATTAAAATTTCTCAAAGTTCGAAGCCTATGAAATTTAGTGTATACAAGCTGCACAAAACAAGCCATTGTCTTCGTCTGAACCGATCTGCCTTTCCCAGCCTGGAAATTTTCCACTTTCCCATTGTTGAAGAAAATTTTTTTGAGTCGTTTCTTGAATATCTTCTAAGTTAGAAAGTGGTTTCACCCTTTTGAAAAAGCTTTCTAAATAACTACGCAATTCTTCCAAATATCTAGTATGAAAAAATTTTAATCAATTTACTACATTTAAGTTGTAAATTTTGTACAAGATTATAAAACAAAAAACGAACTTAATATATTCTCCGTGTTTATTTTCCCTGGAATAATCAGCAAAATTATCAAATTCACTCAAATAAGTTAAATAATCTATCTTTTTCACGTTCTTTAAATTTACATATTGTTCATGGAGGGCGTGTAAGTCTAAAAATCGACCACTTCCTTCTTCTCCCGAAAAAAGTTTATCAAGATCTACGATAAAAAACCGTTTGATTGTTAAATCTAAATTGTCGCAAAATCGAAAGATTTCACATACAAAGAAAATTTACCATCTTCTTCTCCATTTGATTTTGTTTGACTGATAAATTCTAGTTCTAAAGGTTCAACTGTTTCATTAGGATATCGACGATGGTAATCTTTTATTGCTTTTAGACGACCATAGAATTCGCTAAATTCGGAAGTTCCAGACAAGGCATCTATTTCAGTTTTACGTGCTCTAATCAGAAAAAAGTGGTGAATAATTATATTTGAAATGTTGGAGACAATTAGGATAAGTTTGCTTTCTGGTACCCGTCTGAATCAATATAAAGTTCATATAAAAATTTGCTTCTCGAACTGATCCTATCAAGAAAATCGCTAACTCTATGCTCACGGGCTAATCTTTCCTTGTGCTACAGGTACAAAAGAGAATCTATTAACTCTCAAGAATCATAAAACAATAATTTGTTCATAACTCACAGATTTCGGATCGTTCATGAATTGATCAACGATAGCCTGCTCTAACCGTTCTATTTCTTCGTGGGCTTTTCGTTGTTGTTCTAAAATACTCTCCATACTTGCTGTAATCAAATCCACAGAAATTACGAGTGTATATTATATAACGATAATAACGATAATATTTTAATTTAATTTTTTAAAATATAACGATAATAAAATTACTTGTACAACATGATCACCTGAATAATTGCCTTAATTTTCTATTTTTTTTTTTTTTTTTTTTTTTTTTTTTTTTTTTTTTTTTTTTCTTGGTTCTATTTGTTTTTTTTACAACACACTTTTATATAATTTTAGAACATATTCTCTCTGGGGAGACTACACTCGTGATCCTTGGTAATATACTTTTTTTTTTTTTTTAGCTATGTTTGTGGCATCAACTTTTTGCGAATGCTCGATACTAAACACAATTACACTTTAGTCCATGGGTAATTTTAAACGACACAGGAGGCGCGTTTGCTATGGGTGCTATAGGTAGTGGTATATGGCATTTTGTAAAAGGTGCAAAAAATTCACCAAAGGTAAGCTGCATGACTAGAACTTACGTCTTTTTCTTCTTATGTGTCTTGACCACACGTAAAAAATTATCGATATACTCATTTTTCTATTTTGCCAATTTTAATCCATCTTAATTATTATTACATTATTTTATTAATCTTTAATGATAGGGTGAGCGTATAATTGGCGCAATCACGGCAGTGAAGGCTCGTGCACCAGTATTAGGTGGAAATTTTGCTGTATGGGGTGGTTTATTTTCAACTTTTGACTGTGCGCTGAAAGGTATAAGGCAAAAGGAAGATCCATGGAACTTAATCGCGAGTGGATTCTTAACTGGAGGTGTCTTGGCGGCGAGAGGTCATTGTTGTCCTTTGATAATGAATCATTCAGTTACATTATGAACATTCTTAAATTTATCATTTGTAAAATATAGGGGGTGTCGGTGCGTCAGCGAGGTCTGCAGCTTTTGGAGCTTTTGCATTAGCATTGATTGAGGGCATTTCAATTGCTGCATCTAAATTTTTCGCGCCATCGCCAATGATTCAGGTAATACAACATAAAGTCAGAGTGTCCAGCTATTAATAGTCGAAATAGCTATAGATGAAAGTAATGTCTTATGATTATTGCATTTATAGCAAATTTCGCATCTCATAAAAACAATATAGCTAGCTATTTGTAGCAATTTGCTAGAAATAGCACTATTTTAGATGCTACGAATAGCTGGACACTGCATAAAGTATGAAATGAATTTTTAACAATCTAACATTTAAAAATAGATTACTTATCGTTTAATTTATTTTTTATTTTTCGCTTCAAGATGCCTGATTTACAACCTCCACCTAATGTTTCGGCCTAAATCATGTCTATAAATTCACTTAATTATATTACATAGAATATTACAATAAAAAAATTATAAAAACATCTAAAAACCTATAATGAACTTTAAGGCTAAGATTCTTTTCCATCTACAGATTAGCTTATTTTCAATATTTGCGATTAAATAGATCAAAAAACAATAGAATAAAATTCTTCAGAACGATATTTTAAATTTATGAAAATGAATTTCCGTTAATTTTAAGGCCAGAAATAAAAATTTTGTTAATCAGTTCATTTAAAAGACAAATTATTTTAATAAATTAACTTAGAATGCGAAAATAAGTTATTTTAATAAAAAATAAGTTTGCTATATGCTAAACATTAAAAATTTTTTCATTTATCTAATTCCACTCTAAGTAAACTAACTATTCAGTGAGTAAATTTTCTGGGTAAGTTTACTTAAAAGGCGAAGATGGAGTAACTTGGTAAGAAAATTTCAATGTTTCAATATACAACAAACTAGTTTTTTTATTTTATTAAGATAACTATTTTCTAATTCTAAAATTTGTGAAAATTTATTCTTCATAAAGTTACTATATGAACTACAGTATACGATTTCTACAAAAATTTATCATTTTAAAAGAACTTGTTTAATTTGATTTTGATCTATTTAATCGAAAAATTTAAAATAAGGTAATTTTGAGGTTAAAAAAAAAAGAATGCTAAAGTTTATACGTATGTACGTAGCAATTTATTAATGTCCCAAATAGTTACACAACTTATTAGTCATAAGACACAGAAGAATGATGTACGTACGTACGTATGTACTGGCAGTCGGAAATGCATGCCAGGGTGGCATGTAAGGACACGTAAAATTTTCGAAAAAAATTTTTTAATATGTAATTTTTTCAAATTTCGAAATTTTTTGGATACAATTTTTATCATGTGATCATAAAATGATTGGCTTTTAATTGTTTAAACATGTGAACTCTGCCAATACTATTATAGTTTCGAAATAAATCGAAATTTTTACCAAAATCAATCGAAATTTTTACTTTTAATCGAAATAAAATTTACGTGTCCCTGCACACGGGTTCATATTTAAATCACGTGGCCTTCGGCCACGTGGTTTAAATATGAATCCCGTGTGTAGCTTACACACACATATCCATATAATAAGTCCATGTTACTGTTCACCTGTTGGATTAATCAGTGTAAATTGAAGTTTACCATAATAAAACTGTGCTACTTGATAGTACAACATTCAGTAAAATAGTAACATTTGCATTTAAAATGCAGATTCTAATTTCGTTTCTTCATATATTTAAAAAGTAAAATGAATAAGATTTTTAATAACCTTGGATACTATTTAAAAAGTAAAAGGAATAAGATTTTTAATAACCTTGGATACAATTTAAAAAGTAAAAGGAATAAGATTTTTAATAACCTTGGATACAATTATCTTCATGGAATTGGAGTTGAAAAGGATGAATATGAAGCATTCATTTGTTTTCAAAAATCCGCTGATATGGATGATGCTGACGGAACATTTGCACTTGGCGGATGTTATGAAGATGGAATTGGAGTTGAAAAAGATGAACATAAGGCATTCTTTTATTATCAAAAATCTGCTGACATGGGTAATGCTAACGGGATGTGCAATGTTGGTTATTGTTATAATGGAGGAATTGGTGTTGCAAAGGATGAACACAAGGCATTCAATTATTATCAAAAATCTGCCGATATGGGTAATGCTGGTGGAATAGCCGGTGTTGGTTATTGTTATGAAAATGGAATTGGAATTGAAAAAGATGAACAAAAGGCATTCGTTTATTATCAAAAATCTGCTGAGATGGGGGACGCTGATGGAGTATATAATGTTGGACGTT